AATATGTGGACAAAGTTAATGTTCCTCACCCTCTAAACTAGGACTAAAAATCAACCAATATGTTTTTGTTTTGTTTTTTCATACTGATTATTGAGAAAATAGAGCAACCAACAGCCGATAAGCTCTGGTGATTTTTTGGGGTGGATATGTATAGCAGGTTTGTATTACTTTCCCCAAGTTATGCTATTTAACTTTACTACAATCTCACCCAATGTCATTTTTGACCAAAAACCTATAAGAGAGCAGTGTAGTCACATTTTGTGCAGGTATTTCTTTGTATGAAAGTGTCAATATAAAGCTTTGTGTGTATTTTTTTTAGGCAGCAGATTCACTAAAATAATATCTGCTTAAGATGGAGATTTATAGCCTGATTCATCAGCCGGTTTCACTTCATGGAAACCGTCTGACCTCGCAACATTAGAATTCATTCACTTGATGGTAGGTGGGTGCTTTTTTAAAAAAAAAAATTAACTAATCGCTGCTATTTGGTCGTGACATATGTAATGCGCCAGTAACGGGGCTAACTGGGATATTAAGCTTTTCCCAAATCCCATAGGAAGAAGGGCAATAACGTCTTTCCCCTTGATAAAATTCACCAAACATTCTCTTTGTTCTAGCTTTAAATCCTCGCTCTAGGGAATCGTTGCCAGCACACAATGTATGGCACTTCGCTGATTGGCTGGTGCCCAAACTCGCAGTTCCAAGGTTCTTGCAAATAGTCTAGTGTATTGCGATTCCTGACATATTTGCTGGAGTGAAATTAAATTGAGCGGAGGCACTAGGTGGTACCAGCCTGGCTAAGAGATTTAAGGCTGATAGCTGAAACACTAAAAAGCCCAAATATCGTCCCGGTTGTCTATCTCGATGCATGACCTTTAAAATAAAGTATATAACAATAAAAACAATACACTAATCATTTTATATGACAACAATTGAAAATTCTAAGACAATAACAGTCTGTATGTTGTGTTTCTTTGTATTTTTGTTTTTGTTGTCTCTTACAGGTCGTGTGTGACAGGGGCGTGACGCCTCCTGCTGCTAAGATTAACACCCGTTTCTTTTTCCACCATCATCACTCTGACTATAAAAGCTCACCTCTCACTCCACTTCTCTCACAGATTATTCCACATTAGTGCTGAACCTCTGCCTCTGATTTTTTAACTCTGCTACACTTTGTCATTTTGTTATACTTACCTTTTGTCCTGTGCTCAGGTCCTCACCGCTGTTGGAAATAGCCTGCCAGGCAGCTCCCTGTCTCCACAGCCTGCTTTTTGATAAATACATTTCTCAACTTTTTGAACTGAGCCATCTCTGCCTCTGCTCCCCATACTCCTACAAGATACTTAAAGGTGCATTGTGTGACTTTTCTGGTGGAGGATCCGTCAAATGTTTTTCTTCATGGTGAGGTTATTTGTCTGGAATGTTACACAGTCTGGTATTAAACCTTTCTATCTTTATGGGCACCAAACCAGACCAAGTTAAAGATAAGATCTGTGGAGAGGCAACCCTGCTCACACTCAGAATGCCTGTTCTTCAAATTTCATTGTGCATCTTTAAGTTTAGTTAAAGGTGCACTGTGTAACTTTTCTGGTACAGGGTCTGTAATCAGATTTTTTTGAATGGAGATTTCATTGCTTTACCTGAAATGTTTCACAGTATGACATTAAACTTATCAATACTGCATTGATTCAATTACAGGTGTTTTTATTGCTTAAAAAAACTTGACCAGGATCGCCACTATACAGATCTGCTGTGTAGCTTGGTGGTGTTACTATGTTTCTTTAACTGCGTGGGGAGATGAAGCTTGATTACTTTTGTTCCGTTGTTACAGATCATAAGGGAGATCTAGACAAAGTTGGCAAGTCAGGCCGCAAGCGAGTTGGTACCCCCCGAAAAATACTAGTACTTCTGCAATTTGTCAGCATTTTTGCTTCAAGTGCACATTTGTTTACATTTTACAGAAACAAAACTTAAAACCACATGGCTCATTTACATAAACTACAAAGCGGTAATGAAAAAACTACTCTTTCCTTGTGCGCTGATGCGGCTTGTGTCAGACTAAAGGACACGACTCAGTGGAATATGAGTCTTCTTTCTGCAACAGAATGGTCTGCTGATGGTGAGTCTGTTCTGTGCTTCTATCGCATTGGAGATGGTTCATGTGAAACTTTTTAGAACTTTTCATGTAAAGTTTCCAGGTCATGCGCATATACCGTATAGCTTTGCGGCTTTGTAGCTTACCAAAGTCGTACTAAAACATTTTGGTCATACGGTAATACCATATACTTCGGTAAAATCCTTGTTTGACGGTATCAAAATTTGGATACCGCCCAACCCTAATCTCTATGGAGACGAGGAGAAAAGTTACACAGAATACCTTTAAGTAATTATTTAGTATTTAATTAGTATTAGTAATCAGTAAATTAAGACTAAGCTGTAGTGAGTAAGCTTTTTAAGTGAGAACCAAAGTCAAATCCCTAAATTATACAGGCTTTCCAGATGCCATGATAAATGCATATTGCTATAAGTGCCTCTAAATCAACTCTAATATTGAGTTCAACACCATTTATGCCATGATCCTAAAGCATTCATTATTGCAATTGTAATTACAGTGACAGACTAATTATCTACCCTATGTTCCAATGTGATTAAAGACTTTGTAGCTATTATTATCTCTTAATTGAAACCAAACATAAAAGCCAACTCCATATGTCCGTTCACACGTCTCTCAATCTATTCATCTATTTTTAACTACAGAAAGTGTAGCAGCCGTGCAATGTTTGTCCTTAATTTCATAGGCCTGGTTGGAGTAATATATTCTGAGTTAGGCTAATATGTACAGTACACCAGTGAAATATTAAACCATGAGAAAGTTCTGGGGTCAAACGCTTCATAAATTCAGCCCCTTTCACCTGTCTTATTAAGAAAACCTACTCTCTCCGTGCATTTTAGTAGAATAGCAGGTTTGTCAAGCAAGGAAATGACCCAATCTGCAGCGGTCTAATAAGTGGTCCACTCCAGCTCTGAAAACATACTGTATATTAGAATTCGTGATAGTACATTAGACAGACAGACGAAGGAAATGTATGCAACCATTTGGGTCAAATGAGGCACAGTGTGAAACTTGACACATGCAGTTAAATGTAAAATGTTCCGCTGTCAAACTGTATAAGCTAGAAAAACATTGTGAAATTACTGGCAAGTTTGAGCAGTAATGCAGATTTTATCCAGGTATTAATGATTTATAAACTAGATAATGAAGCCGATTATATTCACATTTTAACAAATAATGTTGCATTCTATTCAAACAAACACTTCTAAACACTTCTATAAACACAAATACACTTCCTCATCATGCTGTTTTTGCCACATGCCCAAAGTCTTCCTCTCACCGCAGCAGCAGAACAAGGACTAGGACTCCTCCTCAGCCTCTTCAACAAATTATACATTCCATTGCACTGCTATATAGTATAAGGACTAAAGTTTTCCTACATTTGATTATTTTTTAGCATAGTAGCACCACACTTGCTTTGTTAGTCTGTTGTTTCTTATAACATTAAACAGAAATCTACCATACTTGTGTTTATCTTCTTACAGAGTTTAATTATGTAAAAGTGTCAAAAGGCAGGGGGGTAAAAATATCCATCAGAAAATACAAAAATGTTTAACCTTTTTCAGAGATTGGATCAACATAATAATCCATAATAGTCTCATGGGATGAAGTCCTTTCAGCTAACAGACACTGTGTCTGCATGTGAATAACACCACCATTATTCACTAACCATAGCTCATTTGTTCTGACAGAAGGGGCATTCAACTTCGTGTTAGTTTTGTGGATATAGCACAGTGATTATTAAGATATTAATCAGACAATAGGTCAAAACAAAACTGAAATCTGACAGTTTCAAGTAGGGATGGATGATCTATGGGTTCCATACAAATTATTATATATTGTACTGTATTTTTTGTACTATAAGGCACAATATCAATAATGTTGAATTCTCTCGTCTCTTTTCATACGTAAGGCACACCGGATTATAAGGCGCATTAAGCGAAACAAACGGAAGACACTTGAGACTGATCCCTTGGCCCAGGCATCCATGATCCATTGGCAGATCGTGGTGTAATTCGCCCGGCGTTGCCTCCCTGTCTTGGTGAATGTGGATTATGAATGTGAATGTGGGTGGGTAATTTAAGTTTTTTTGTTTTATTTCTTATGAGGAAGACTCAAATATACATTGAGTAATAATGTGTTTAATGCAGCTTTGAGCACATTTGTTTATGTTTTAAGAGAAACAAAACATAAAACCACATGGCTAATTTGCATAAACTATAAGTGCTGAAAAAAACAGCTCACTCTTTGTGTGCTGATGCGGTCAGCTACTGTTGGACTAAGTTTGCAGGTCATATGCATAGACTGTATATATGAATGGCCATATATGCTCTGTAGCATTTCACTGATGTCATAAATGCTGACGCAGAATTATACTTCGCCTTTTACTCTGTGAGATTCCTAACTATGGTACCATGACGTTCCAACAGTCCATCAAGCAGTGCGGCTTTGTAGCTTACCAAAGTCATAATAAAACATTCTGACAGAATTTTGAGCGCTGTGTACCACATAAAATCAGTTCGAGGTCAGTAAGCACAACTAGAAATAATACATAAGGTGCACTGGATTATAAGGCGCATTGTCGATTTTTGAGAAAATTAAAGGATTTTAAGTGTGCCTTACAGTCTGAAAAATACGGTAAGCCAATGTGACTTTGTGATTTTGTGATCTTTACTTCAACTTAAAATAAATTTGGGGTCCTCGCTATGGAAAAGCTATTGGTTATTGGCCATAGCAGCAGGCCAAAAAATCTGCAGTATCAGCTCAAATCCATATCGGCCCATCCATAGCTTCAAGACCTTTACTACCATAGACTTGTGACCTGCCCGTGATCCATGTAAAAACACCAAATACCACTGTAATTGTAAATCCAGTCTCTCTCACTCACCCAGACAGTTGTGCCCGTCGTGTGCCAGCCTGAAGCCGTCATAGCACGTGCACCTGTAGTTCCCGGGGATGTTGATGCACTCGTGAACACAGCCCCCATTATACTCTGTGGCGCACTCGTCCACATCTGCAACAGAACAGAGGCCTGCGTGAATACATTAGTGAAGAAAACACAAACGCGGTACAAAATTAGCCAAAGCAGATTTTAAGTAGTGAGCCTAATTAGCGCATTGTGGGAAATGATGTCGGACTGAAAAGGCCTGATGGTTTGTTTTGTTCATTAGAGCTGCTCACTTTGTGTTTGGTAAACTTGAAACAAAAACAGCGGTAATAAATGACTTCAGCTGTTGCTAATGTGATTCTTCTGGATGCTACAAACAAATGAATGTCCTCTTGTATAGCAGATATGTTCAAAGGGCCTTATGGAGAGCGCATTCCGCAAGCAGGTTTAGTATTATATTTAACTTGGTTCATACAGGTTTTACGTTTACAGTAGAATACGCTGCATAAACTCAAATCTAGCCAAGTTAACATGACTTGAATGAAGAAAGTTGTATCACGATTTGAGTAAATTTCATTTGACAAGTAAAATTATCTACCAATGGAACAAGACATCTTTGAAAACTTGAGCTATGAAAAACAACAACCCTCTGCACTTAAAATAAGAAACTAATTCAAATGTTGCTTGAATTAAGAAAAACACTTATGCCACTGGTAGATTATTGTACTTTTCAAGTTGAATCTACTCTAAAGTAAAATGTTCTCAATTAAAGTCATTTTAACTTGTCTATATATGACTTTTTGCCATATAGGCCTGTTACAATAACTCATTTTGAAGTAAATATAAACGATAATACTGAAAGCAATCCATAAAGCAGAATTATCCACTAATAGACATAGAAGTTCAGAATTCAACCTTCTACAGCTCAAATCTCATTGCAGTACTAAAAATAAACAAAAAAATCCAACTAGTACAAAGAAAAAGTATAAATGATAAATATTGATCCCAAAAAGTATTGTTCCATCTATCATGTATTGAATGATATGTTGATATAGTAATTATCATGACAGGCCTATAGTAGAATTAGTTATTTTCTCTTAGGCCAAGGTAAAATATTTTGTTCGACATGGTGGTATAGTGGTTACTATACCACCACACAGCAAGATGGTGTGGAGTTTTTTATTTTATTCTCTGTAGAGCTGTGCAATTATGCAATCACATTTTAATCAAGTTTGTTAATCATCAATGATATAGATGGGGCTTTTGAATTGAAAGGTCCACAGTCAATCCTCTGTGAGTAAAAGTTTGGTGCAGTTATTTTTGGAGGAAGGAATTTGACTATTTTTTGTGTTAAATTGGCCCTGATTAAAAGTCAAAATTAGTTAGTATTCATGAAATAAATACTGAAAGGCATTTTCATGTGATTTTAATAAGACAAAAATAAAAGCCAATCGATAATCAAGCACGAACAAAACGAAGAAAGAAATTTGATACATTTTTTGTCAGCCCTTATTCCCAGACTATGTGGAGCATTGCGTGTGTTGTCCCTGTGTCTGGATTTGACTGTCAAACTAAAACATGCACAAAAGAGAATAGACTCACCATTGTGTACAAGTCCCCCCATAACCTGGCCCCCACCTACCTCTCTGAGCTTCTCCACCACCACTACACCTACTCCTCCTCCTCCTCTCCCCCCACCAGAACCAAACATAAGACCTGAGGGAACAGGGTCTTCTCCTCTGCTGTCCAACCCTCTGGAACTCCCTACCCTATCACATCAGAGACTCATTTACACTTACCATCTACAAATAAGCCCTGAAAACCCATATCTATCCATAGCAGAGCTATTCTACAAAATCAACATTTCAGAGTTATTAACAAGGGCCCAACCAATATGGATTTTAAGTTGGGTTTATTTAGGCCACATTTACTGTAATTTTGTCTCCTTACAGTCATATTTAAAGACAGTAGGTCTAGTATTTTTGCATGATATTGTAGCTTTAAACAAAGTAGATAGCCTTTAGTGGTTAGCATAAAGTGTAATTAATTATATGAGTAATTGCCGATCATTCACACCTCTATTCACAGCTCATTTACATATCAATTCAGGTCCAGGAAAGTCTATACAGCCTCTATAGTCACTTTAGAGGCTACCACTGTAAGAGAAAAAAGGCTGTTTATATGTGGTAGCTTACAGCAACAAAGCGTTAATTAGTGAGAAAGAACAAAAAATTGTTCCAAAACCAACACATTTGCAACACTCACTGCTCACACAGACACCTCTCAGATCACAAGTCTTCACAAATAAGTGTCCTTTAAGACTAACTCATAATGATCATCCATAAAAGAAATAATCCAACATGTTGACTGCAGCTGTGTGTGTGTGTCCTCTGTCGGTGGGACAGTCCTCTGTCTATGGGACAGTCCTCTGTCTATGGGACAGTCCTCTGTCTATTGGACAGTCCTCTGTCTATGGGTCCTCTGGACAGTCTCTGTCTATGGGACAGTCCTCTGTCTATGGGACAGTCCTCTGTCTATTGGACAGTCCTCTGTCTATGGGACAGTCCTCTGTCGGTGGGACAGTCCTCTGTCTATGGGACAGTCCTCTGTCTATGGGACAGTCCTCTCTCTATGGGACAGTCCTCTGTCTATGGGACAGTCCTCTGTCTATGGGACAGTCCTCTGTCTATGGGACAGTCCTCTGTCTATTGGACAGTCCTCTGTCTATGGGACAGTCCTCTGTCGGTGGGACAGTCCTCTCTCTATGGGACAGTCCTCTGTCTATGGTCTATGGACAGTCCTCTCTCTATGGGACAGTCCTCTCTCTATGGGACAGTCCTCTGTCTATGGGACAGTCCTCTGTCTATGGACAGTCCTCTGTCTATGGGACAGTCCTCTGTCGGTGGGACAGTCCTCTCTCTATGGGACAGTCCTCTGTCTATGGGACAGTCCTCTCTCTATGGGACAGTCCTCTCTCTATGGGACAGTCCTCTGGGACAGTTCTGTAGCTGGCTCAAACTGCGCTTAGGGTCACTTTCATTTACAGTTAGTGTCTTAGATCAGACATAAGTGCATTTAAAGCAGCGCCTCTGTGTTGCGCACTGGTGTAAACAAAAACACGTGTGTCATGTGATTCTGGGGGCATTCAGGGGCAGTACGGTGTCATAGGCACAGACACAAATTACTCCTCTGATAAATATTGATGCGGTGCCACATATTAGGACATTTATCTGTCTGTAAATTGGATTAAATTGGACATAATATAAAGAATCTAAACTTTATACGAAGGTATAACATGCTCACATCACTTAACTTAGGCCAATAGCCGATATATGTCTCCAAGTGCTCATATCGACTGATAATATCGGCCAAAAATATTGGCCAACTAATATATTGGTATATATATTTTTAACCATGTTATCGTTGCTTCTCCTTCTCCTTTCCCCTCTTAAAGTTGTTTTAGGAGTAATTCTCCTATGTTTGAGCAATCTTTAATCACTTACTTTCAAAACGCTATATTTCGTCGTTTAATTCACGTTTTCAACATCATTGGCTAGTGTGACCACCACCATTTTCTAAGTAATTGTATTGTGATTTAAAATGTCTAAATTACAACATAATGATCCACAGGAGTCATAGATTATAATATAGCAGACACAGGCACAATAGGTCTTCTTTAAAACCACCTTTCATTAACATTGTTTGTCTCCTCATGTAAAGTGTCTCTGGGTATTTTGAAAAGCACTATGTAAGTGTTATGTATTACTATCTAGTGTTGTTATTATTATTATACTAATTCTTCAGCTACTCCTGACTGAGATCCTGTTTGAAGATCTAGAGGATGATCCCCAGAGAGCGGCTCTGCGGTCCGCCACTGCTCCTGACTGGTTTAGAGCAATGGCTTTAAAGGGGGTCACATTTAGAGGACACATTTTCCTACATGGACAGTTCACTGTAACCTCACACTCAATAGACTCAAACTCAAAATAGAACTCAAACTCAATTTACTAAGGCAATATGACAAAAAATGATACAAATTTGTTTCCTCATATTGATCAATGACAAATTTATAATGAGTTTTATTTTGTCACTTTAAAAAGTTATTAAAAACTGCTTTCACTATTGATTTCCTGAATAAAAACAAGACACTTTTTAATCAGTGTCATTTAACACAAAAAATAATCAAACCACTCGCTTTTACTGACAGAATTACTAGTTAAATGAAAAAGACCCAGGCGTATCATTGATCATTACAAATTACTGAATCTTGATCTTGATTCAAATTTGATTACTTGCATAACTCTAATTACAACCACTTCTACTATCACTCCTACTACTACTACCGCAACCACGTGAATTTCTAAAATGTGTACTAGTCCTAGTCACAGGAAAAACACTTTAACGGTCTATTTTTATTACACAAAATTGATTCTTGTGAGCTTGTAGCCATTTTATAATGTAAAGTTGTTATCTCATCAAAAACATCTTGAGTTGTGTTTTGCTTCGTTCATGTTTGCGTAATCTTTTAGAATTAGTCTGTCTACATCTCTAAAACTCAAAATGCTCTGTTTTGTGATGCCACATAGTTGTTTCACGTTAACAGCTACCATTTACCTTTAGTTCAGTATAGCCGGAATGATCCATATGAGTCTAGTGAAGGTGTATGGAGTTTAAAGGGACAGTTTGGAATTTTGAACATAGGGCCTCATTTTCTAGTTAGCCAAGGTGTTGGAGATGTGTTTGCAGAGGTCGCTGGTGCTAGGCTAGCGAACGTCAATGGCCATAGTTAGCCTGTCACTAAAAACAGTCTTACCCACTCCACAAATCACCAGAGACAAAATAATTATAACGCCAGACTGTCGATGTGAAAGTCTATGTCGGCAGAATAATTTTAAAAGTAAAACCAACCTTGCATTTGAAAGATTTATATCTGAGCAGCAGCAGCAGCTAGTTGTACTTCCCGCTGGAAAGCTTGGCAGGGGCGGACTGATATATAAGAAAATAGTCCCTCAACATGCGACGATTCACGTGATGCAAGGTTAGTTTTATTTCAAACATCATTCTGTCAGCACAGACATTCACACTGACATTGCTTCAGGTGCTTTGTGGAATGGGTAAGACTGTTT